GAACTCGGAGAAAAAGAGCTTGTACGGGCACGGCTGCGCGTCCACCCACGTGCGGAGCAGGGCCTCCGAGCCGCGAACCTCCTGGAGGAGGATGACGCGGTGGCGGCGCATGTACTTAGTCAGGGCAGCTTGCTTGCGGCGGCGGCGCTGGCGCTTGTGGCACATAAGAGCTCTGGCATTCCACGTGATGAAGGTGCTGGGGGCGGGGCCCTCGGTCGGTCGCCACGGCGACCAGGGGCGGCTAAACCCGCCACGTTGCTGAAGCAGTGTCTGCGAAGAGCGCCTGGAACGCGGTGAGGACGCCACCGCGATCCACTTCGTTGAAGTGGTGGCCTTCGAACGCGCGCTCGTTCCATTCGAGGATGGCGGGGTCGGCCTGGCCCTTGACGTCGAGGCGGACAACGGGCATGGCGTTGCAGTGGATCTCGCCCTTGGTGCGGATGGCCCTCCATGGCTCGTCGGGGTAGCGGTGCTGGAGCAGTTGCAGGAGCTTCTTACACTGGATCTCGGTGCGGATCTGCTTGGGGGACTTGTCGGGATTGAGGTAGATATCCACTCGGGCGCCTGTCGCGTCGGTGGACTCAAAGCGTTTCCACCTGCCAGCAGGATCTCGAAGGGCGCGTGAAAGAGCGAGAGCTCGCGGGATTGCGGCTGCACGATCGCCTTTGACTTGAAGAAGGAAGCGTCTGGACGGCCCGTCGCCCAGCAGCTCAACGGCGTTGCGGTCCACGTTGGCAGAGGCGATCCACTCCTGCAGGTCGTTGAGCAGTATGCCGGGCGCGATGAGGCGCTGGCAGCCAATGGAGAAGATGGTCGGGTCGGGGGAGCGGTCCCAGTCAGCGAGCTTGGTGAGGTCCGCGATGGGCGCCTGAGCTTCTGCGAGCGCGAGCGTGTCGCGCATCTGATCGATCTGCGGCCACATATTCTTCTGCTCGTCGGCTTGGCGGTCTTGTTCACGGCGTGTGCGGGCGACTGCATCATGTAGGGTATCCACTCGGCGTTCGGTAGCAATGACTTGTTGTGCGAGAATTTGACGAAAGCTTTCACGTGATTCATTGAGTAGAGGGTTGGCCTGGGCTTGGAAGGTGGCGGCGGCGTGTTCGACTTGAGTCTGCATGACTTGTTGAAGAGCGGCTTCGACATCAGGAGACAGACCTGGGATGCTTGGGAACGATCCAGGCGTGGCTGTACCTCCTGCGGCTGCGATGGAAGCTGGTATGTCTCCGCCATGAAGGTCGGTGGCGGCTCCGACGGCGGACGCTCCTCCAGCGGCTTGTTGACCACGCCAAGGGTCACGAGCTCCTGCCAGTGGATCTGCACGCGGGTGTCCTCCTGCTGCTGGTGCTGCCTCGACTGCATGTAGTTGGGTGGGCGGTGCATCCCATTGTCCATCGCGAAGTTGCTCGGAGGCAGCCGCTGCGTGGCGAGCAGCATCACCGTGGTGTGGAAGGTCGTCGGCATCCATCGCAAACGTTGGCGGAGTAGACGGGCGCGCTGACGAGCGACCAGGACGCGAAGGCGGCGCAGATGCTCTCCCTGAAGCTCGTACGAGTTGCGAGGCGGCGCCAACTCCCCCCATGGCGTCGAGTGTGACCCTGGCGGCGGTGGCACGGGAACCTTTATCATCTCGGTCTTTATCTTGGCGTCCACGACGGCGTTCTTTCCTTCTGCGGGAAGGTGCGCTGCGAGACGTAGATCTATCTTCACTGCTTGACGACATGGTTGCAATAGGTTGGGCAAGTCCAGGAAGTGGCTGCTGTTCTGCTGCCCAATGTCCAGGGCGGCTGCGGGGCCAAAGCGCGGTTGGCGGAGAAGCTGCTGGCAGGCCACGGTGCGGGCAACGTTCTCGGCGGGAATGAAGTGCTCGGAGCTAGGCTCGACGGCGGATACGTAGTGCACGGAGCTTGGCTCAACGGCGGATATGTAGTGCTCGGAGCTGGGCTCGACGGGCGATATGAAGTGCTCGGAGCTGGGCTCGGACGAGCTGATATGAACGGCAGCCTGCAATGCCAGAGTGAGAAGCAGGAAGAGCTGTGGGCAGCCGCAAGCCCGTGGTTGTGGCGGCAAAAGCTGGGGGTCTGTCCGCGGACTAGCGGTATCCATGAAGGGCGCCGCAGGCATCATCATCTTGAGCCAAAATGGCTACTGAGGGGGAGGAGGAGGAGGCGGAGGAGGAGGAGGAGGAGAAGGAGGAGAAGGAGGAGGAGGGGGAGGAGGAGGAGGAGGAGGAGGAGGAGGAGGAGGAGAAGAAGAAGGAGGGGAGGAGAGGAGGAGGAGGAGGAGGAGGAGGAGGAGGAGGAGGAGGAGGAGGAGGAGCGACGCTTTTTGTCGTGTTTTTGACCCTCGGCGCACCACGTGCGGCGCGCCGACGCCGCGCGCGCACGAGACGCCCCGCACGAGGGCCGCGGAGGCCGCCGGCGGGGCAGCGGCGGCGACGAGGGCTCTCACAGCGGGCGCACGGCTGCGGGCCGCGGCCCGCTGCTGCTCCTCCTGCGCCCTCGGCCTCGCGAGGCCTCGTTCTCGTCCTCGTCCTCGACGTCCTGGTCCTTGCCGCCCTCGTCCTGAAAACCAGCCTCGTCCTCGGCCTCTCTCCATCTGCCTCGCCCTCGTCCTCGCCCTCGTCCTCCTCCCCCTCCTTCTCCCCCTGCTGCTGGTTCCCCATGTTATCGTCGTCCTCGTCCTCGCCCTCCCCATCCTCCTCCTCCTCCTCCTCCTCCTCCTCCTCCTTCCTCCTCCTCCTCCTACTTCTCCTCCTCCTCCTTCTCCTCCTCCTCCTCCTCCTCCTCCTCTCCCTCCAGGCCCTCCCAATAGTTCTCCTCCTGGCACTCCTGTCCTGCACGCCAAAAGCATGGCAGCACGAGCCCTGCGCACAGCTGCTCACTGGGACGAATGTGGAAGCCGATAACGACGCTGGTGAACATCGAGAACTGTAGTGCTACACTCGCACACTGAGGTGACGCAGGTGCAATGGCAGTGATGGCGGTAGCCAAGCGGATGCAAGCCGTCATGGTGCTATCCTCTTGGATGAACACAAACCCGTCCGTTCGCTGCAGGCTGTCTCCTCCTGCATGCCTCACGCGCGCGGCTCTCTTGTCGATTGCCCCGTGCCTCAGTACTCCCCTTCCCGCGCTCGTCACTGGCTTTCCTTCGCCTCCTTCTCCTCCTCTTCTACTTCCTCCTCCCCCCCGACCCATGGAGAATAAGAATCGAGAATGAGGGAGGATCGAGAATCCAGGTTTCGGATATTGTTGCGTTCTGTGCGGGCCTCCAGGAAGCCCCTCGTGGCCGCAGCTAGATCCCCTTCTGAATCCTGGGCGAAACGCAGCCGGGGAGAGGTCCAGGGGTCGATGTGTCACATCTTATCATTTGTTGTCCGTCCGACTTTAGCAGACTGTGCGTCCGCGACGGCACACAAGTTCGGTGAGCACCCCGCTGAAGATGCACGAAGGCGCATGACATTCACACGATGAGAACGCCGATAAGGTGCGAAGGCCTCTCTGGGGCGCGTACCACCCGCGACCTGATGATCACATTGCTCTGATACATGACCACTGGAAGCGGCACTGCACCGACCTTGCGGACGTGCTGCAGCGGATTTTTGCTTGGATCTCTATCAGTGCAAACCCCCAACATGGCGAGCGAAAAAACGGAGTGAATCTCACGTGGATTTTTGGTAGTCGTCATTCCTGGCCCCAAAAAAGTCTGCACGAAACTCAGTTCGAAATCCGGAGCGGAATTCTCCAGGACAATCTGGGCCCATCCCATTGTTTTTCGGCGGTGGACAAACCTCCCTTTAGTACACCTCCCCTTCGTGCAAGCGGCCTGGGGCCGAAACCGACGGACCTGGACCCGCAAGAATGACGGCCGCGGCGCCCTCTCGCGAACCGAAAAAGGCCAACTAACTAATCGACGCGTCAGGGCAGGAGGTCTATCCACCTCCGAGTTTCGGGTCGGGCGAAAGGGGGGGATAGCAAAGGGGGGGGTTGAGAATCAGCTCACGTAGCTGATTTTCCTGGCGCCTCCCAGCGCCGGAGGCGACATGTATCGAGGAATGGGCCCCTCGGTGAGGCCGAAACCAGCTGCATGCAGCAAATTTCGTTACCCCCCCTTTCCCAATCCCCCCCTTTCGCCCGGCCCGAGAGTTTTCCGGACGACATCCGCTCTGCGATGCTGGCGCCACGGGAAGCGTTCAGCCCCGGGCCTGCAGGCTCGCAGGCCCCAGCGGAGCGCAGCGACGACGACGGCCACCGACCGTGCCCCTGTGGCACGTTGGGGCGCGGCAGCATGCCAGGTGCGGCCCGGCAGGAGCTCTGGAAGTCCTCCGAGGCCCCCCGCCCCCTCCCCCCGCAGCACGCTCAGCTGCACGCCCCTCCTCACTCCCGAAGGTTCCAGGGTGCTTCGACACCGTCATGTGGCTCTCCGGGGCTCCCGAGGCGGCCCAGGAAGGCCACCCAGGCCGGCAAGATGTCCCAACGCAAAGATACCCCAAGAGGCGCCCCAAGGACACCATGAAGGTCCCCCATAGGCTGCCAAGGCACCCCTAAGATGTCCTGCAGAGGAGCATCGAGAGGCCAAAAACAAGTGTTCTCCGCATGGTTTCATTATGTTTCGCTTTCCCCACTCTTCGGTCGAATATCGCTCCACGTGCGGTCTTCGAAACGGCCCCACGACGGACCCAAGAGACCCTCCAGACGGCCCAAATCACAGCACAGGGTGACCCCAAGATTGCCAAGGAGGGCCCCAGATGACCCCGAATACTGCCCGACAGGAGCCAAGAGAGCCCCACGACGGCCAAAATGAGCCCCATGAGAGCTCCTCACGATGTGGAGACGAACTGTGTAACATGTGACGGCCTTCTGGGCGGTGCTCCAAGGGTCATCACACACAGTGCTTCGCTGGCACGGTGGCGGATTTGCCGCGGGCACCTGGATACATGGCGCTTCTGCAACACACCGCGCCTGAGATGCCAGAGACACCCCGCACAAAGCGCGCAGCCAGACACCGAACCCTCACTAGCAACAGGCAGAAGGAAACATGAGCGGGGGGACGATGAGGCCGACAGCACGAGTCACAGTGCGCGTGTCCCCCGAACCAGAGCGGAACGCACGAGAGTGACGGCACGGATGCGGGCAGACTGTTTTTCACAGCGGGCCAAGCACGCAGAGCATCTGGTCAGGCGTCGCCCGCTACTCGGTCGGGGCACGCACTCCCCTCCGATGATGACTCGTCCGCCTCCTCGCTGCCCTCCTCGGACCTTAGTTGGCCGCGGAAGCGGCGGGGCCGTTGCTTCAACGTCTCGGGGAAAATGCCTCCACTGAAAGCGGGAGCGGGGAAACAATGGCGACCGGAGACGGAACTGGCACTGGAAACAAAAGGGGCGCCGGAACACGGGGACAAGAACTGCAAACCGGAACCACTGCAAGATGGAGCCGGTAAAAGGATGGCCCTGCCGTTTCCAGTGGGCCAGGGCCAGCTGAGCTCCGAACACGCTGCGCTGCCCAGCACCCGCTGCGGGGCTCTCCGTGGTGCCTTCGCAGACCGTCGCATCCGCAGCCCCGCGCGCGGCAGCGGCACCGGCAACACCGCCTTCGGCCAGTCTTCTGTCCAGGGCACGCTGCTTGCGCTCTTGCCGAGCGCTGGGGCCTCCCGCGTGCCTGGTGGGCGGCGGAGGAGATCAGGGAATAGAGGCCGCTAACTGGGATGTGGTCGGAGTAGCTGGAGTGGGCGATGCATCGGCGACGTCGCCGTGGAGCAAGCGGGGCTCCACATCAAGCCGCATCGCCGATGCATCGGCGATGCGCGATCCTCCGACCCCATCTATTCGGATACCATCTGGGAGAGTGCGAGGCGGGGATTTATCCATGTTCACCGCCTGGGAACCGACGTCCTGGTGCCCCAGCGGGCGGCGGATATTATGGATATAGTTTTGCCCCTGGGGGCCCGAATATATCCACATCCACCGCCTGTCGAGAAGCTCACGACCACCACCACCACCCTGGGAAGGGGGAGCGAAGGGCTTGCTGTGTTGCGGGGTGCTGGAGTGCAAGATGTCCGACCAGAGCGTCCAGACGGGCGCCGGCACGCCGCATACGCTACAAATCGCCGCCACCCTATGAGGCCCTCCTCTGCCACCCCCCCCTTCCGTCGGGTGGTGGTGATCCTGCTTTCTCCGAGAGGGGGGAGGAGGACGAGGAGGAGAAGGACGAGGAGGAGGAGGAGGAGGAGGAGCAGGAGAAGGAGGAGGAGGAGGAGGGGGATGAGGGGGAGGAGGGGGAGGAGTAGGAGAAAGAGGAGGAGGAGAAGGAGGAGGAGGAGGAGGGAGAATATGAGGAGGAGGAGGAGGAGGAGGAGGAGGAGGAGGAGGAGGAGGAGGAGGAGGAGGAGGAGGAGGAGGAGGAGGAGGAGGAGGAGGAGGGAGAGGGGAGGAGGAGAAGAAGGAGGAGGAGGAGGAGAAGCCTGCGAGGCAGGCAATCCGCCAGCACGGTCTCCCAGTCGCTGCCCGCCTGCGCCATCCGCGTGAGGATGCGGACCACGCAGTCGATGTTGAGCACCGGGTGCGCGCCCGGCGGGCCGTACCTCTTGAGCGGCAGCCGCCTGGACGGGATCAGGTGGCGACACCCAGAGATCGAACGTATTGAAAAATCCGGACGGTTTTCTTTCTCAATTTTCGGCCTCTTGAGGCCCTCACGGGGCCCCAGGACCGTCAAAAAATGCTTCAGGGTGAAAAGCCAGGCCTGGGGAATGGGTCGAGACTTCCGGGGACCGCGTATTGAAAAAGTCACAACATCGGATCTCTGGGCATCCGAACCCTACCCCGACCAACCATCGATCCTCCAGAGTCGATGGCAGGCGAGGGTAGGGTTCGGATTTCGCCACATGCTATAAACGAATTCCGAACCCTGCTACCCCGGCCGCCCATCGAGTTGCCTGAATCGTGGATCGGCGAGGGTCGCTCCAAATTCCGCTCAAAATGAGCCCCCAGACTCCTGCCAGGATTCAAACGCACGAGTTGTCCGAGCCGCGTCCAGCCGCGCAGACGAGGAGGGCCCCCGAAAACCAAACTGCAGCGAACCTCGATCTTCGAGGTTCGAACCGCGAGCCGACGCCTATCGATTTGCCCGAATCGTTGATCGGCGAGGGCAGTGTTCGGAGTTCACCGTCGAGGGATCCCACGCCGCGCGGCGGGGGCGGCCACAGATTTTGCCGTATCGGCCTTCCAGCACCGAGCACTCGAAGCTTGCCCCACGCTCTTGGAGCGGTTTTGGAAAGGCCGTCCAAAACCGCTCCAAAAGCGTTGGACAAACTTCGAATGTTCCAAAACCGCCCCCAGGACCTCCAGGAGGCAGGACCGAGAAGGCGGCAGCGGGGGCAAAACCTCACCATCGGTAGCACTGTCCTGCGCAGGCAGGGGCGGGAGCACGTCCTGCCAAAAGTCAGGCCATTGACTGGCGGGCTCCGCAGAGGTTGACGAACAACACACACACACACCCACACCCATCGGCGGGTCGGGGAGAGGAGGACTGGCCACGGGTATGGGGGCGGCTTGTCGGACACCGGGGGAGGCTCCCGTTCGAGCGGGGACCCCCATCCGACAGCACCCACCCATAGCCCTCTTCCGTCCCCCCTGCGGGAGTGCGTGTGTGTGTGAGAGAGAGAGAGTGAGTGTGAGTGCGAATGTGAGTGTGAGTGAGAGTCTGAGTTTGAGTATGAGTCTGAGTGTGAGTGTGAGTGTGAGCGTGAGTTTATGTGTGTGAATGTGTGTGCGTGTGTGAAAGTGTGTGTATGTGTGTGCGTGCGTGCGTGCGTGCGTGCGTGTGTGTTTGTGTGTGTGTGTCTGTCTGTGTGTGTGCGTGTGTGTGTGTGTGTGTCTGTGTGTGTGCGTGTGTGTGTGTGTGTGTGTGTGTCTGTGTGTGTGTCTGTGCGCGCCGCTCCCCCATTTGGCGTGGCCCCTCCTGCCTCCTCCCGCCCACCGGCTCGCGTTTGCTGCGCTTGGCGCGCCCCCTTCGGTCCGCTCGCCCGCCTTCCACTGGCGGCCTCTGCTCCGCGCCGCTCCCTCGGAGTGGCTCCGTGTCTGGGTCGCCCGCCCCTTGCTCGCTGGGCCACGGTGGCGCCCGTTTGGGCGCTCTCGTGCCTGCCCGCTTCTGCCTCTCGCCTCCCGCCGCGCCTCGTAGGCCCTCGGGTCTCGGCGCTATGGCTCTTCCCCGGGGCCGCGCCTACCGGTTCACTGGGTCGAGCCTCTGATTCGCTTGTGGTGCTCCCCCACTGGCCGCCCAGTCTGCTGGGCTGCTCTCCCCCCCCAGCTTCAGCTCAGTGCAGCTCAGAGCAGCTCAGTGCCGACGCCGGCTCCACCCCCTCGGCGCTTCCCCTGCCGCAGCCGGCGACTCGCCTGAGTAGGCCCAGCTTCCTCTCCCCCTGTCGCGCCGGGGCTCCTCCTCCTCCTCCTTCGTGCATTGCGGCCTTTATTTGCAAACAGCGTGTCCCCTGTTGCCTGTCCACCGGAGCAGTCGCCTCTGCCCAGCCGCCGACGCAAAAAGTGCGTGTGGTGTGTGGTGTGTGGTGTGTGTTCGTGTATGTGTGGTGCGTGGTGCGTGGTGGTGTGTGGTGTGTGGTGTGTATGTGTGTGTGGTGTGTGATGTGTGGTGTGTTTGTGTTGTGTGTTGTGTGTGTTGTGTGTTGTGTTGTGTTGTGTGTTGTGTGTTGTGTGTGTTGTGTGTTGTGTTGTGTGTTGAGTGTTGTGTGTTGTGTGTTGTGGTGTGTTTGTGTTCTGTGTGTGCGTGTGGGTGCGTGTGTTGTGTGTGGTGTGTGTGTGTGTGCGTGTGTGTGTGTGTGTGAGGTGTGAGTGTGTGTGAGTGTGTGTGTGTGTGTGTGTGCGTGCGTGCCTGCGTGCGCGCGCGCGTGCGTGCACGTGTGCGTATGCGTGTGCGTGTGCGTGTGCGTGCACGTGTGCGTGTGCGTGCGCGTGCGCGTGCGCGTGCGCGTGCGCGTGCGCGTGCGCGTGCGCGTGCGCGTGCGCGTGCGCGTGCGCGTGTGCGTGTGCGTGTGCGTGTGCGTGTGCGTGTGCGTGTGCGTGCGTGCGTGTGCGTGTGCGCGTGTGCGTGTGCGTGCGCGTGCGAGTGCGCGTGTGCGCGTGCGTGCGCGTGCGCGTGTGCGTGCGTGCGCGTGTGCGTGTGCGTGTGCGTGTGCGTGTGCGTGTGCGTGTGTCGTGTGCGTGTGCGTGTGCGTGTGCGTGTGCGTGTGCGTGTGCGTGTGCGTGTGCGTGTGCGTGTGCGTGTGTGTGTGCGTGTGAGTGTGCGTGTGCGTGTGCGTGTGCGTGTGCGTGTGCGTGTGCGTGCGTGTGCGTGTGCGTGTGCGTGTGCGTGCGCGTGCACGCGTGCGCGTGCGCATGCGCGTGCGCGTGCGCGCGTGTGCCGTGTGCGTGTGTGCGGTGTGTGTGCGTTGCGTGCGCGTGCGCATGCGCGTGCGCGTGCGCGTGGCGCGTGCGCCGTGCGTGCGCGTGCGCGTGCGCGTGTGCGCGTGCGCGTGCGCGTGCGTGCGCGTGCGCGTGCGCGTGTGCGTGTGCGTGTGCGTGTGCGCGTGCGTGCACGTGTGCGTGTGTGCGTGTGTGTGTGTGCGTGTGTCGCGTGTGCGTGTGCGGAGCGCGTGCGCGTGCGCGTGCGCGTGCGCGTGTGCGAGTGCGTTGTGCGCGTGCGTGTGCGCGTGGTGTGTGGGTGTGCGTGTGTGCGGTGTGTGTGTGTGTGTGTGCGTGTGTTGTGTGCGGTGTGTGTGCGTGTGTGTGTGTGTGTGTGTGTGCGTGCGTGCGTGCGTGTGTGTGTGTGTGTGTGTGTGTGTGCGTGCGTGCGTGTGTGTGTGTGTGTGTGTGTGTGAGCGTGCGCGTGGGGCGCACACGGCCTCCGCCGACGGGCGGCACTCCCGCGGCACTTGGCCACGGCACTCGCGGTTCCGTGCGAATCGACGCCTAACCTTAGGTCGGGCGTGTCCTCTTACAGGCGGATTTGGGAAGTGAAATGAACATAATCAAAAATCATCCCAAAAAATGACAGACGAGAGAACGATGCAGGACGCCTCTTCTGAAACAGGAAGTTATCGCGCTGGACTTCTTCGGGCTTAACTACCGGAGGCAACAGCTGCACGGCTGGAGGGCTGCCGCTTGTCCAAGTGGGGCGCCGCTTGAAACTTCCTCGCTCCCTTGTTGCCAGCAGCGTGAGCTCGTGCAGCAATCCTGCGGGTGTGGCCGGTTTCCTCTGAAAACGGGGCCATCGCCGGACACCCGGCTGAATGCTATGGGCCTGCGCTGACGCCTCCCTCACCACGCGCTAGAGACGAGTGCAAACCAGCTCCTCTTCGGAAAAGGGCCCTCGCCTGAATGCCAGAGCCACAGGGTGCTGGTATTTCCAGGGGGCGCCACTCCTAGTGAGCAGAGAGGCTTGCAGACTTCTGAGGAAGGGACTTCGGACGGTCGGGTGTATTGCAGCATCGCTGGCGCATCCTAGGTTTACTTCGGTCATCCTTCATTCCTGGAGGGTATTTCACCAACAGTAGAACAACTTTGGTACCCGATCTTACCACCCCATCTCATCCACAATTACAATCTTCGAACTCAACTCTCCTCTCTCCACTGCCTCTATCCGGAAGGTGTTCGCCCTTCTCCGCGCACTGTTCTTCTTACGCACAGGGCTTCAAAAGCTGAAGTTCCCAGTGGTGCTTTACAATATGGTCTCTTTCGGTCCTTCAAAATGGTGTTGCCGCTGCAGCGTGGGCCTCATTTTAGTATCGACGCTGTGCTCCCGTCGTTCGGAATGGCACTCTCGCCCCAGCGCGGGCCACTTGTCTGGACCCGAGACCTTCCTCATCGTTGTCGCCAACCTCATGTCCAAATTTCCGCCTTCCCCTGGTCCTCCTGCTCCTCCCGCTGCTGCAGTCCAGCTCCTGCTGCTGATATTCCTCCTCGTCCTCCCCCTTCCTCATCCTCTTTTCCTCCTGCTCATCCTCCAGTTCCTCCTCCAATGTGTGCGCGTGCATCTCCCATTTTCCAATGTCGCAAAACATGTTGGATGCCTCTTGTAATTTCAGGTCCGCTATGGCACGTGGCAGCGGATCGGAGGTTGGGGGTGAGATCGAAGTGGAACGGAGAGCCCCCCTCGGTTTCGTGTTCGTGCCGTGCGTGCGGGCGAGGCGAAGCTGCGTGGGCGGGCGAGAGGAAAGTCTCCTGTGACTGAGCCGCGGCTGGACCAAAAGGCTCTCCGCCCGGCAACCGGTGGCGCGCGGAGTCCCGCCGGTGTCCCGCTGGTGTCCCGCTGGTGTCCCGCCGGTGTCCCGTCGTGGCTGGGCCGCGGCCGGACCAAAAGGTTCTCCGCCCGGCAACCGGTGGCGCGCGGTGTCCCGCCGGTGTCCCGCTGGTGTCCCGCTGGTGTCCCGCCGGTGTCCCGTCGTTGTCCCGTGATGTCCCGTGGTGAGATCGACAGTGAGATCGATAGTGAGATCGATAGTGAGATCGATAATGAGACCGATAGTAAGATCGATAGTGAGATCTATACTGAGAGATCGATAGTGAGATCTATAGTTTGTGAGATCGATCGTGAGATCGATAGTGAGACCGATAGTGAGATACCAAGGCGCCCAAGAGCGAAGGATGACGTAAACAACTCGACACCCAGGCTCCCAAGAGCGAGCGGCAACGCAACAATCACCACTGTTGCCCATTGCTGGCCCCCCTCCACCCCCCAACCTCCTTATCACCCGAAGGGTGGTCGTATAGGTACATCTATATATTCATGTACCTTCGATCTCACTTGACGGGACACCACGGGACACCACGGGACACAACGGGACACCGCGGGACACTTGTCCATCTCACTATCGATCTCACTGTGAGTCACTATCGATCTGACTCAACGGGACACCACGGGACACCACGGGCCACCACGGGACACCACGGGACACCACATCGCTCTCACTATCGGTCTCACTATCGATCTCACTATCGATCTCACTCAACGGGACACCATAGGCCACCACGGTACACCATGGAACACCGCGGGACACCACATCGATCTCACTATCGATCTCACTATCGATCTCACGATCGATCCCACTCAACGGGACACCACGGGACACCACGTGACACCACCTGACAATTGTCGATCTCACGATCGATCTCACCATCGATCTCACTTTTTGGGACACCACGGGACACCGCGGGGCACCACATCGATCTCAATATCGATCTCACGATCGATCTCACTCAACGGGACACAACGGGACACCACGAGACACCACCTGACACCTGTCGATCTCACTATCGATCTCACTTGTTGGGACACCTCCGGACACCGCGGGATACCGCGGGACACCACATCGATCTCACTATCGATCTCACTATCGATCTCACGATCGATCCCACTCAACGGGACACCACGGGACACCACGGGACACCGCGGGACACTTGTCGATCTCACTATCGATCTCACTATCGATCTCACTCAACGGGACACCACGGGACACCACGGGCCACCACGGGACACCACGGGATACCGCTAGGGCCACCGCTGGACGGAGGAGAATCATTTGTCTTGACTTCACCCCATCAACGGCGGACACCACGGGACACCACGGGACACCGCTAGGGCAACCGCCGGACGGAGGAGAATCATTTGTCTTGACTTCGCCCTAGCAGCGGCGGGTTCATTCCTCTCGCGCGCCCACGCAGCTTCGCCTCGCCCGCACGCACGACACAAACGAAACGAAACGATTTCCCGCTTGGGGGTCTCCGTTCCAATGCGATCTCATCCCCAACCTCCGATACATATATATATATATATGTACATATACATATACATATACTTATACATATACATATACATATACATATACCTATACATATATGTGTGAAAGCAACGAGAAGGGATGGGTGGGGGGGTAGGATGTCAGATATGGCGCGAGCGCACCAAGCTTGTCCCCCACCCCACCCCTCCCTTATCTAAGTAATTCCTCCTCGTCTCACCGCGAGACGTGTCGGTAGAGCGGGCGGGTTTATAGACTGGGAGATTGCCTCGACGCCGATGATCCCGAACATTGAGGTTTCTCACATCTATACGGAAGGCGGTGGAGTCGCTTTCGGACTGTGGCTCTCGCCTCCGCGCCGCGCACGTTCGTCGTGGAAGCTTCCAATAGCTACAAGGGCGGAGGGCGGCTTGTTTTCAAAATGCGGCTCTCGATTGGCGCCGCACACACTCGTCTCTTACGAGTCTCCAACGCCTTCGACGATGGAAGGCGAGTCTGTTCGAAGCGGGGCTGCCGCTTGAGACCCCCTCTGAGTGTAAGGCCAGAGGCGTGAAAATCGTTCAACGGCTACACGGATGGAGGCCGGCTCCTTTCCCAGAAGGGGGCTCAGGCTTCAGACTTCGTCGACGCGTACCACCAGAGAGGCAAACGCAGCGCCGCAACGACATGGATGGAGGACAGCTCCTTTGCGGAACGGGGCTCTCGCCTGACTGGCAGGCCCAAGTGCGCTCGTGAAAGTCGCTGAAAACCTGGATCCTCGAACCTCGACCCGTGGGCGGGATCCTCGAACCTAGATCCTCGAAGCTGGCTCCTCGAACCCTGACCCTCGAGCCTGGGCTCCTGGGACACCGATCCTGGATCCTCGAACCCCCGATCCGGGATTCCTCGATCCTGGACGCTGGACGCCGTGGATCCTGCAATCCTGCGTCCTCGGACCTCGACCTGCGAGGGCGGTCGCGGGGCCCATCCCTTGCGTGCGGCCACGAGTGGCGGACACAGAGCCATGTCCACACCCTCGCGGCTACTAGATTCCGGGGCGAGGTCCCGCGGACACGTGGTCGCACGGGTACGTTCCGCGCGGGGCAGCCGCGAGACCACGCGCCATGCCCGCGGGGTCGCAGCCCAGGGGGCCCAGGCCGCGAGAAGGCGAATGCGGGCGTGTCTCGGGCAAGCTACGCCCAGGCGGAGCAGGTCCATGCGCAAGCCGAGCACTCCGCACGGACTCACTCCGCATGGGCGCTCCCTTCTCCTCCTCCTCCTCCTCCTCCTCCTCCTCCTCCTCCTCCTCCTCCTCCTCCTCCTCCTCCTCCTCCTCCTCCTCCTCCTCCCCCTCGGAGGGGGAGCACCCTCGAGAAAAAGAGCGCCCTTGACCCGAATCACACCACGAGCCGATGTGTGGATTGATGCTCCATCCTTCTCCACTGCGCCGCGGGGTTCGGGGAGGGGGCCCGAGACTCCCCGCCGAGCGCCCTTCGCCCACGAAAGGGATGGGGGGGGGGAAAGGGGGGCACCCGGCAGCCTCAGCCTCCCGAGGCCGTGCTCCTCGGCCTGCGCCCGGCTCTCGTTCTTCCGGACGCTGCCGTCGACGAGGCCCCCGATCACGTAGACGTCCTCTGGCGGCGCGCGCAGATTTGGACGCCCGAAGTGGGTACGGGAAAAGTGGGCACCATGCCCAGGAACAGATGTCGTCCCAAACCAACAGCGGCCGCTGTTGGGCAGGCGGCCTCCTGTCTCAAATGGACACAGGCCGCGGCGACACCGACAGCGAGTCCTCTTCAAAATGAAAACGAACTGCTGCTGGGCATTGTACCCATTCTTTCCGTACCCATTTCGTTCGTGCCGAGCAAAAGGGGTTTTGGGGGGGAAGTTTCTTCGAGGGAAGCCGCTTCTTAGAAGGCGCCGGCTCCACGTCTACAGACAAGGCCCGCGCCTTCTAAGATAAAGGGGTGCTTCTAAGAACCTTCCCTCCTTTACTGGGGAAGCCGAAAGGTACCGATACCGCTACTCCCCGGACCTCTCCTGGGGTGCGTTCTGACCAGAATTTCGAAGCGAATCCGGCGGTGGCGACGAGGGCCTCCCAGGAGGCTGAAAACGGAGAAGACGGGCGAAAAGTAGCGGGATGGGTACGGCAGGACCTAGGACAGAAGAGCCTCCATCAAGAACATGAGGCCCCCAGCCAGGAGAACGCCAGGGGAATGCACAAAAAAGTCCACCGAACACTTTTTGCGCCGGCGGCTAGGCGGGGTAGCGCTGGCGAAGAGCTTCCTAAAAAGGGGGTGCCGTTGTAGCGAATTGCGCCACCATGCAGGAGGAGGGGACAGGGCAGAGGCAGCGGCCGAGAGAGGGGGCGGGAGGGGAGCGAGGCCGCTCAGGGGGACGGGCCACAACGTCCACCAAACACGAAGAGCACGAGGGCACCCTCCCCGAGCCGACCTCGATCTAATACCCCGATCTTGCCATCGCTCGGACGTCCATTCCCCGTGCATTCTTCGATGTCGTGCGTGCTTGTTGCTTCCCTCGATGATCCAGGATGCTCCTCCAAGGGTCCTCGCCGAGAAAACAAATACACACGTCCGAGCGATGCCGGGCGATCCGACCGTGCCCTTACCTCCTCTGGCCGGCCCCCCCCCACCCCCCCTGCGCGTGGCCCCGGGTCCTGGCGCGGGAGGGGCGGCGGGCCTTGGCCGCCCATCGCGCCGTGGAGGAGTGGCCCCAGCGCTGCGGATTTGCCACGGCAACGGACACCTTAACGATCCGATCGTTGAACAAAACACGTTTTTTAAAAAGGTGTGAAACCATGGTCTCATAATGTTTTTGTTTTCCACCTGTCCTAATACTGCTTAGAGTGTGTTCCAATAGTGTTTAATAATGCTTAAGATGTGTTTTGGTTTGCAAACATGCGTGAACCATGTGTTAGACATCTGGAGATTGTTTGGCAACACGCTTCCTCTCCACCGATCGTCGTCCACAACCCCAGCAAGGCACCCAGCAGCACGGCTGGGGGCACTGGACAGGGAGCCCTTCGAGCCGTCGTGCCCCCCAGGAGCGCCGACCGAGGAAGCGAAGGGGCTTCTGTGGCCGCTGCGAGCCTCGGCCACACAGAGAGGTTCCCCGACCCCTAGATTTAAGGAATGGCCCAAAGGCCTGAGCCCCTCCTGAGCCCGACGTTTGTCCTGACCATCCTGTGGTGTCGGGTCCTCGTTTTGAAGAGACAGCGCCCCGCGTCTCCCTCCTTCTCCTCCTCCCGCTGCCCACTCCCTCCCCCTCTCACCATCATCATCGTCATCGTCATCGTCATCATCGGCGTCAAAGTTCGCATGCCGGCCCCGCCACATATCGGCGCACCCCTCACACGGCTCGTGGCCCCATAGGGAGCTCCATCTGAGGCCCCAATTGGAAGGTTCGCATGGCGGCCCCGCCCCACTGCGGCGAACCCCTCACACGGCTCGTGGCCCCATAGGGAGCTCCACCTAAGGCCCCAAAGGGAAAATTCGCATGGCGGCCCCGCACCATTGCGGCGCACCCCTCACACGGCTCGTGGCCACATAGGAAGTTCGCATGGCGGCCCCGCCCCATTTCGGCACAACCCTCGCACGTTTCGTGGCCCCACAAGGAGCTCGAGCTAATGCCCCAAGTGGCCCCATAGTGAACTCCACCGAAGGCGCCACTGACAGGGTTCGCATGGCGGCCCCGGCCCATTTCGGCGCATCCCTCACACGGCTCGTGGCCCGGTGGGAAGCTCCCCCGAGGGCGCCAGTGGCAGGGTTCGCATGGCGGCCCCGCCACATTTCGGCACAACCCTCACGCGGTCCGTGACGCCATAGGGAGCTCCACCGAAGGCCCCTTATCGCAGGATTATCATGGCGGCCCCGCCCCATTTCGGCGCACCCCTCACGAGGATCGGTGCCCCGTAGGGAGCTCCACCGAATGCGCCAGTGGCAGGGTTCGTATGGCGGCCCCGCCCCATGTCGGCGCACCCCTCACGAGGATCATGGCCCGGCGGGGAGCTCCATCGAAGGCGCCAGTGGCAGGGTTCGCATGGCGGCCCCGCCCCGTTTCGGTGCATCCCTCACAAGGACCGTGGCCACATTTGAAGCTCCACCGAGGTTTGCCAATCGCCCATGGCGGCCCCGCCTCATTTCGACGCACCCCTCACACGTCTCGTGGTCTCATAGGGGTTCCAACGGAGGCACCAATAGCAGGGTTCGCATGGCGGCCCCGCCCCATTTCGGCACACCCCTCACGCGGTTCTTGGCCTCATAGGTAGTTCCAGCGAAGGCGCCAGCGGCAGGGTTCCCACGGCGGCCCCGCCCCATGTCGGCGCACCCTCACGAAGATCAGAGCAATCAATTTTTGTCAGAGCTCCGGGGCCCGAAGGCGGACCCAGGGGCCCGAGATCGAGGTCCAGAGGCGAGCCCACGCAGCGTTTGAGCGAGCCCAGACCTAGCCGGAAACTCCCTCCAGCCACCCTCTGCTTCCCGACCCCCGTCCCTATTGTCTTGTCTTCCCTTCCTCCTCCTGCGCTCTCCCGCCCCATTCTTTCTCCTGCTTCCTCCCACCTCTTCCCCCGCGTGCTCTTTTTCTAGGCGGGCGCCGTTGCTGGTGATGACGAGGCAGTTCCGGCCAGGTCGAGGGGGTCAGGATGAGGAGGATTATGATGATGACCACACGAGGATGAGCGGCGCTCGGATGAGAGGCGGGTCGCCCCCTCCCCACAGAGCGCGCCTCGTGCAGCAGCAGAGAGGCGGGCAAGCTGCGCCGCCGACTCTTCGTCGCCCTGCATGCTCCGCTGCACCCGACTGGGATGGATCGCGAAAGGAGAGGCCCTCCAGGTCCGCCATCGGCACGTCGAACACGTGCAGGGCGAAGTTGCGGAGCACCTTCTCGAGATGCGTGTGCGCGGGCGCGGTACCTCGCCTCCTTGCGCCGATTTCCTCGGCCCAGATGCGCAATATGGCCTCGACTCTCCGTTGCACCTCGGGATCGGCATCCCAGCAGCGTCGCGCCTCCAGCAGCTCCTGAACGCGGGCGGTCTCCGCCCGAGCAGCGCCCAGCTCGTCACACAGGCGCTTCAGAAGTCGGCAGAATGCTTCCTTGTCGCGTGCCCGTCGAGCACGTCGATCTGCTGGCGTACCCAGTTGGTCCACAGTTGGTGTGATGCGCCACACCCTCCCGTAGTCATGCTCTCGAACTTCACAAACGCATCCCGCTGCACTGGACCAGAGGAAACATGCCGACCATGCTGAAACCGCGGGGTTTCGCTCGCTGCTGAACAGCTTGAACCAAAACATGGCTTGAGCGACATTGGCTACGGTGTCTCCTCCTGCATCTTACCAGATCCTCCTGCTCATTCTCCTTATCACTCCTCCTGCTCCTCCTGATCCTCGTGTTCCTGTTCCTGCTGCTGCTCCTGCTCCTCCTCCCCGTCCTCCTGCTCCTGATCCTGTTATTTCTCCTCCTCCTCCTCCTCCTCGCACTCCTCCTCCTCCTCCTCCTCCTCCTCTTCCTCCTCCTCCTCCTCCTCCTCCTCCTCCTCCTCCTCCTCCTCCTCCTCCTCCTCCTCCTCCTCCTCCTCCTCCTCCAGCCCCCAAGGCAGGGGACCGACTCCTCCTTCCCACCTCTTCCCCCCCCCACCCTCCTCCTACCCCGCCCCGCCCCCACCCCCCACGACTGCGTGCCTCACAGGCCCCATTGCTCCCCCCCCGTCCTCGTGGGACAGCTCGTCCAGATCCTCGTCCGCGTCCGGGGACAGCACCACCACCCTCGTCCTGCCGAGGCACCCCGTGGGGGGCGCGCCCCCATCGGGCAGGAGAGAGAGGGGGAAGGGGGACGAGGGGCCCTGACGTCCTCGCGCCGCGAAGCAATCGTCTCATCCTCCTCGTCTTCCTCCTCCTCTTCTTCTTCCTCTTCTTCCTTCCCCTCCTCCTCCTCCTCCTCCTCCTCCTCCTCCTCCTCCTCCCCCGCCTCCTCCCCGCCTGAGCCCGGGGCAAGCAAACAATACTCAGAATGAGAGGGCGGTCCCCGGGAAAGAGTTCCAGACCTACGTGGAAGCGCGTTGCGAGCAGCATCGCCAGGTCGGATGTCTGGGGAACATCAGGACGGGAGGGCGGGAAAGGGGGGACCGCAGGGTCCGTGGCAGACGATGCCTCCGATGGGGAAAGCGGGGAGGGAGGAGGGCATGGGGGAGGAGGGAACACGACGAGGGGGAGGAGGAGGAGGAGGAGGAAGGAGGAGGAGGAGAATGACGAGGAGGAGGAGGAGGAGGAGGAAGAGGACGGGAGCAGGAGCAAGACAAGAAAGAGGAGCAAGACAAGAGTAATGGAACCGTAAATGGTTATCCGCCACCGTGCCCCATGGCACGTTGAGCCGTGGTAGAATGCCAAAAGCTGTCTGGTACGTTCCCTGACTTTGAACATTTGCCTACCAAAAACTCATCACACCACTCTCGAAACGCCCAACCACGTGCCCCCTCGTGAATGAAAAAAACGTTGGGTCCCCACTCCAGAGGCCACGACCCCTTGTGAAACAACTATGGGCGCGCGCGCGTCCGAAGCCACGCACCCTGACAACACAAAGCAATGGGCCCGCCCTCCTGAAGGCACATACCTCGCACAAGAACAGTGGATCTACGCTCGCGAGCTTTCCACGACGGCTGAGGCAGGCAACCAAAGCTGCGGAGATGCCCCACAATGCCCCCCACGACGACCCCGCGTCCCCAAGGCAGCCCAAAATGGCTTGACACGAGGCTCCCAAAATGATCCAAAACGGCCACAAGAGAACCCCGAGCAGGGCCCAAGGATGTCAAACGCATTACAGTGTTCCATTGGTTTTGAAAAGCGTGGCTTGGAAAAGGCCCCCCAATGACCCAATGATCCACCAAATCGGCCCCGAGACAGCCCAGGACGGCCCCCAGAACGCCCAGCCCCTCAGGCCTTTCATTCCGAGGGGGTTGGTTCTCCACCGCCGGAACCTCCGACTCCGAGAGGTCCGCCCGAAGATGGCTTCGGAAGCCCCCGAAAAGGTCGCAAGTCGGCCCAAAGACGGCTAAGGAGGCGCCCAAGACGGCCCGAGAGGGCCCCGAGCCAGCCACGAGAGGAGCCCCGAACGCGAACCGCAAATCCAAGCCCCCTGCCCAAAGAAGCGCACTGGAGGCCCAGGGGGTGCCCCGAAAAGCTCGCGCGGGGAACCGGGAGATCCGCGAGGAGCCGAAGAGAGGCCCCGCCACAAACCTCCAGAGACATGAGAACTGCCTCCACGAGGCCCCCGACAGGCCCCCCACGAAATCCCGGCGAACATCCCAGAGGCGCCCACCCCAAACCCTAAAACGGCAAGGCGGTCCAAAAAGGCCCACGGGCGCCCCAAGACGGCCGACGGGGGTTCCCAAGACGGCCCCAGGACGGCCCGAAGTCTTGCCACGCCTGCCCGTTCCGCGCTCTGCCGCGAGCACCCTGTCCCGCGCGAGGAAGATCACGCGAGGGCCCCCGCTCTCCAGCCCCTCCCCGAAGGCGCCCCAGGCCGCGGTCGTGATCGCCATGGCGAGCGTAAAAACGGCTCCTCTTTTGAAACCTAAACCAAGCGCGCAACTCGATGCCAAGGCAATTGTGCCTTATGAGCAGAACGCGACAAAACGAATGGTGACTCCCGACTTTGCAACCACTTCAGGGTTCGCACGCCCTCGCGTCACGCGCTGCTCTCGGGCGGCGCCTTTGATCGCATTCAGCTGCAAAACCAAACAGCAAAACACTACCGATGCAAAACGCATGCTGAGCAGGCATTTGCAGCCACATAGGGCGACGCGCTTTTTCCCCCTACGCGCCGGGCGCGGACGCATCCGAAGGCGCGGGCGCCAACGACGCGACGGGCCCCAGCCAGTTGACAAACGACCGGAGCTTGCGCATCGCGGTCGAGAGACTGCGGCGACGAGCGACAACGCGCGCGCCCCCCCCGCCAGGCAGTCGCAGAGGTGGCGCATGGGCCACTCTTCACCCGCGAGGCTCAGCGGCGCTTCTTCGGCGCCGCCCCCCCGCGAATGCGACCGTCGGCGCTCGAGGTCGCGCGGGCAGTGGGCCGGCGCGTCTCGCAGAGGAAAGGGGCAACCTCAGCCAGTGCCTTGCGCGTCTGCTTCGGATCAAATGGCGCTGCGACGTCTTCGCGGCCCTTCTTCTCTGCGCAGGTCGTGCCCCGGCAAGCCCTGCGCGTCTCGCGCCCGGGCGCCGCGCGCTGCGAGCGGCAGCAGTCGGGCGCGATTCGCGCGACGGCCCGACGGACTGCGATTCATCCGTTGCTAACTCGGAAAACCATCTTTCGTCCTCCAGGCGTCGCGCGGCGACCGCTGCAGCTCGTCGCGCGCTGGGCCGTCGCCAGCGCCTGCGGAATGCTCATCGGGCTCAACTGCTCGATCGGGTTCTTGCAAGTCGCCCCTTCCGTGGCACCTGAATGCAGCCGGGCCTGCTGCTCTCGCGCTGGTCTTCTCGGCGCTGCGCGCAGCGCATCCCTGCGGCTGCGGCGCCCCCTGCCCCCCGAAATCCTTGTTGCCTGTCTTCTTCCCCCACCGGCGCGTCTCGCGCCTGGAGGGCTGAACCGGCGCCGACGTCTGCAGAATGTTCCACGCCCTCAGCTGGGAAATCGGCGCCTCACAGTTCGCGCCCTTCGCGCGCTGCGAAATCTTGCAGACCACGCGCGCGCGGCAGCCTGACCCCGCGCATTGCGGGCACCAGCAGTCGCATCGCCTCAGACTGCGACCGCGCCGGCCTCGGCGCTTCAATCTCTCTTCTGGGAACTCTGCCTTCGTCTCGTTCGCCTTGCAGCGGTCGCGCAGCTGCTGCTGCGTCTGTCCGCAGCCAGGGCAGCGCAGTGCCCGACGTCGCCCGCGGAGCCCGCTGGCCTTGCGAAAGCCGATCTCCAGGTTCTTGGAGCGGCAAACTGGGCGCTGCCAAACTTCCCCCTCAGCTTCGCACTTCAAGCACACGGCGGCTTGCTTTCGCCCGCGCTGCTGCCGCGTGGGTTTCGAGCATCCGATCTGCGGCAAAGAGTTCGCACGCTTCTTGACGGCGCCCTCCGCGCAGTCGGGGTTGCGCCGCGCGCGCGCCGTCGTAAACGCCCAGGGCGAAATACCGACTTTCTCTGCTTCGAGCTCCAGCTCGGGCCCGATCTGCCCATCGCGCGATGCTGACAGACTTTCGCCCAAGGCTTTCTGTCGCCCTCTTTGCGTCTCCAACGATACCACGCCTCGCCCCCGAGCATCCCCTTGCTGCTTTGCTGTCTCCAGCCGCGTGGCATGCAAGCGTGTCCCTGGCCAGTCGCCCGGAGAGACTCGCCCGCGCGAGACAGAAAAATAATGCTCTGCCACGCTTGTGGCTCTGCCCGAAAGAGGGGGCGGATCGTCTCTGTCAGTCACACTATCGATCTCACCATCGATCTCACTACCGATATCACAGTCGTCTCACTACAGATCGCTCGACCGACCTCGTAATCAATCTCGCGATCGATATCACTGAATCGACTTCGCTACCAGTCTCAAGATCGACCTTGCGATCGCCCTCGCGATCGATCCCACGTTCGAGCTCTCTATCGATCTCACAATGGGTCCCAACACCCGTTTCATGAACTTGCACGCCATCCACTGATTGGGGTTTCTCTCTGGCACAATGAATGCCGCACTATTGGAACTGATTCCCGCTGCTGTTCGCAGCGCGACACGGCGCGCCCGTGCTCGCCAGCAACAAGGACAATATGCCACGTCTTCCGAGCGCGGTAGGAAAGCCATCGCCGCTGCAGGCCCACGCAGCACTGGCTCGCTGACGACTGCGGCGCGCGACTTGGAAGGTGCGTCTGCGGCCTGGATCCAGGAAGACACGGCGCCGCCAGCGCCTGGCAAAGTTGGAGGATCTCTGCTGGCCGACACTGAACGCCGCCAACTAGAGGGGCGCGATCAAGACGGCGCGCGAACCTGACGCCCACCAGCGCCGCGCCGTCTTGCCTCGCGCGCGCTTCCAGCCGCGGCGCCCGAGCGCGCCGCATCCGTTTCATTCGACAGTCCAGACGCTCGCGATGATCTTCGCCTGGCCGCGCAGCCCGGTGCTCCTGCGTCATGCGATGAATGCGGCTTGCGAATGCAAGTGGCGCCTTCGTGCTCGCGCGACCAGTCGCTGCGCCGGCGGCCCCCGGGCCGCGCCCGCCCATGGGCGGGGCGTCCGCGGATGGCGCGGCAATCGTCCTCGCGGATGTTTCCGCCGCGGCGCCCGTCGAGCACGCCGCCGAACCACTCATCCACGCCGCCGCGCCCGCTCGCCCGGGCCAGTTTCGAGGCGTAGGTTCGCGCAACTAGCTTCGCCGAACGCGCCGTCGACCGAGCGCGCCCCCCGCGAGGTCGTTCGCGCGCCGACGCGCGGGCCCATCGCCCGAGGACCCCGCTCTCCGCGGTGCGAATGAAACCTCGACGGCGCCGTGAATAACCCAGCTGCAATTCATTATCTACTGCGCCGTCTCATTCGCGATCACTGGGCCCGCGCGCGCGGCGGGCGTCGACCCGACTTGCCAGGCTGGGCGAAGCTGCCGGAACTTTCAGAAGCACCACGCGGCCTCGCCCGATCAGTCGTGCTCTTCCAGCGCGACGGATCGGGCGAGGCCGCGCGGCGCCCCCGAACCGTCGAACTCGGCGTCGGGCCCCCGTCGAATTCCAGCGGCGACGTTGCTTCCACTCCCGCGGCGCCCGCCCCGCTGGCGCGCAGGAAACGCAACGCTCCGCGTTTTTAACCAGGGCAAGAGGAGCCCCGCAAACAACGCGACGCCGCGACGCGGGCGAAAGAGGGCGCGACAACGACCCAGGCGCGGGGGGGGGGCGAGGAGGAGGGGGAGGGCGGGGAGGCGCGTCGGCCCGCGCCTGGCCCACGCATTTCGACAATCCGAGGGCGCTGATCTTCCTGATTGCCACTGGTCGGGCAGCATTGCACTCCCCGCGCATCCTCGACAACTGCTTCTCTCCGACTGTGCGCAGGAAAAAAAAAAAAACGCGCCAGTGCCAAATGCCACTGAACTCAAGTACGCCAAGGACACGAATTCTCGACTGGACGCCAAGCGCCAAACATTTCCAACATCCCAAGTCTTGGCAACCCAAGGATCAGACGTAACGCCAGAGCATCCATCAAGTCGTGGCCGTGGTGCGTTTCTTGTGAACGCGCATGGTGGACTGCATCCAGCATCTCCATCTGATTTGGACTTGGCACAATTCCCATGCGGAGTTCTGCCATCTGCACGCTCGCCCGACACTCGTCGAATTCGTGCTTCCAATTTTGCGCGTGCGCATTCACATTGGATTGTCGGAGTACTCTCTTTCGCCGTCGCCTTCGACTTTCTGTCACCGCACTTGCGCGCTGCGGTTCCTCTCCAAACTCCTTGCTGCGGCCGCCCCCTCCGCGGGCGGGCCGCTGCTTGCCTCCGCCAGCTGCAGCGCTAAACCAGTTGTCGCGGCCACGCGCTTGTTCGTGCCACTGGAGGCGGCGTCCTGCGCTGTGCGCGTACCTCCTGCATTCGGATATGTATCCTGGTTATCTGCGCGGTTGTCGCCCATGCCTGCAGCCGCGTCTTGCCGTCGAATTTTTCCATGATAACATCGATCTGGTCGGAGGCCAAGTCGCAAGTCATCGCGTATCCTTCCAAACGCGCTTGCTCGTCGTACTGGTCGAAATTCCGACCTTCTGCAAGGCGCGCCAGCATGAATTTGTGCACCTGCCGTAGAGCGCGCGAAGATATCTCATTATGGCATGCTGTCCCAAGTCATCGTATACATGGTTCCGCTTCTTCGACCGCGCATCCTGTGCTGGGGGCCGGTACTTCGGATTTGCTCAAACCGCGAGGAACGGCATTGCTCGCGCGATTATCTTCGGAACTAAGGTTCACGGGCGCGAGAGCACGGAGACAAGCGTTGCTCGTCTGTCTTTGGACGTCCGCTTCCCCGTGACAGGTGTTTGTTGAGGGCAAAAACTGACCGGCCGCTCTCGCCGCGCAGTGACCCACGTCTGTCGGAATTCGCTGCCCCTCGCGGGTACACTCTTGTCGAAGAGCCTGTTCGCCGCAGGATGCGGGTGCAAGTGCGACAGGCTCCCCCTGGTTTTTTTTCTCCTTGGGTTTGCGAGTCTTCCGCGGTCCTTTTGCTCAGAATTTGTTATGTTCCAGGCGGGTTGCTGGGCGGCTGGAGCCGACGAGCCTGGAACCACTGGACGAATTCCCATGGCAACAAATACTGGAGACCGGGACGACTGCCGCGAAGCCCGTGCGCACTGGCCTCGTCGAGCTCAATGGCGCGCTGTCCAGCCGTCGGCAATACGACCGTTCGCTGCATCTTGTCTTGCGGCTTCTGCAACGAGCCGCACCGATCGATGTAATACTTGCCATGGAGATACTGCAATCTGACGGAACGAGCGAATTCCGCTGTCAACGGGTCGTGATTTCTGTGCTGCGATGCCAGCATAACTCCTCCGTGGTCGCACGAAGGATGCCTCTCCCCTCCACGGTGGTGAACACACTAATGACACACCCACAAAGGATGCTGCATGTCAACAAGCCCCCAGGATCCCAACAAATCTCGAGAAGTATCCGAAAGTACTCTGGCCCATTCCCAGGGCACGATGGCGGGGAGGGCCGAAAGCCGTAGGATAAGAGGATGAGGATGAGGATGCTGAGGATCAGAACGGGGATGGAAGTGGGCACGAGGGCGAGGACCACGACGAGGAAGAGGACGAGAAATAGCAGCCAGAGCGGGGACAACTGGAGGGGCTTGGAGGAGCACGAGGGACAGGAGGAGGAAAAAGGGGAGGGGTGTGCAGGGAGTGAGGGATGGGTGAAATGAGGGAGTGCGGGATGGAAAAGGCGAAGGAGGAGGAGGAGGAGGAGGAGGAGGAAAAGGAGGAGGTGGAGGAGGAGGAGGGGGAGGAGGAACAGGAGGAGCAACAGCAGCAGCAGCAGCAGGAGCACGAGCAGGCAGACAAGCAGGAGCACGTGGAGGAGCAGGGGCAGTCCTATCGAAGAGCTCCCAGTAGGGGGCCTCGTGGGTGTGTATCACCCAGCCGCGAAAGCCGATCTCCTGGCAGGATTGGGCCCCCAACTCAGCACAGGAAAAGCGCCACACTTGCTTTCACTCCCCCCCCAGAGCTTCACGACTGACGGTCCCCACTGGCTGCATGTCCGCCCCTGTCCCCTCGGCACGCTGGCGCGGGTTAGGATGCCCGTCGATCGTCGGATTACTCATGTACTTGTCTGCCCCCCCCCCGTTTTCCAAGTCCCTCGCACCGCGCCGCGCCCCCCCCCCTTTGGATGTATTTTCGGCTCTTGGGCGGCTCAAGAACCGCCCTCAGACGGCTGCACGATGCCCCAAGATCAGCCCAAAACGGCCCACCGACCCCCACCCGGAGGCTCCAAGATTAGACATACAGAAAACGGAATAAACACGACTTACGGGCGTCCGCGCGGATTTTTTGAACCTGCGGTCTATCCCTCCTGGCGCGCGGAGCGGCGGCGCCAGAGGAGCCGCCAGAGAGCAGGTCCCAAAAATCCGCGCGTAGCTCCGTGCATTGATGTTTATGCCGCTTGCTGGTCCGCGAAATACGCCCCCAACGCCAACAAAAAGCCTCCAACGACAACACCAGATCACAAAAACAGCTCCGAACACACATTTTTTCCGTTGGCGGCTGGGCAGAAATTAACTGCCCTGGCGGATAGGCAACAGGGGACACGCTATATGCAAATTAGGGCCGCAATGCACGGATCGTCGGTGGACAAACCTCACTTTAGTAAACCTCCCTTTAGTGAAAACGGCCTGGGACCGAAACCGACGGACCTGGACCCGCAAAAATGACGGCCGCGACGCCCTCTCGCGAACCGAAAACGGCCAATTCACGAATCGACGTGTCAAGGTAGGAGGTCTGCCAACCTCCGAACGGAAGGAAGAGGAGAAGCCCCGTCGCCATGGGGAGAGAGGCAGCTGGGCCACTCAGAGCTGCCGGCAGCGGCGGGGGGCGCGCCGGGGGGGGAGCGGCGCCGGCAAGAAGTTCCAAGCGCACATGCTGCCCCAATGCGCCCCGTGTCCGAGGGGCGTCGGCCCCCAGATCGCCTGGGGAAAAGCCCGAGGCAGCCGCATCGAGATCCCAGACGGCCACGCAGTGCCCGAAAAGGAAGGGAATCCCTTAGGGTTGGGTCGGGCATGTCCCCCTACGGGCGGATCTTTTGAAAGAGTAAAGATAAGCAACAAATCAGCCAAACAATGCTCAAACATAGTCCAGAAGTACTCCGAAAATCGTCCCTACACGATTTTTGGGCTATGTTAACATATTCCCCCTGTAAGAGGGACACGCCCGACTTCATCTTACCCAGACAGGTTCTGAAACAGTTCACCGAGATGAACTCAGAATTCGACATTCGAGATGAGATCACAAAAGTCGTGGAGCCGTGTCACCTGGACACATTCATCCGAAATGTTATGATCTGGACGAACTCGTCCAGGAAACTCCTTCAGGACGAGTTCACCCGAAGACGCGTTCACCAATGAACAATATCATCCTCAGACGAGATCATCCGCAGCTACATTCATTCAGACGAATTCATCTGGACAAATTCATCCAGACGAGGTCGTCCTGCAGAAGGCTCTTCCGGATGAACTGGTCGTCCTCCCAGTTCCGGAGGGGGAACATCGAGCTCGCATCGGCGATGCATCGCCTGGAGATCGGCGATAGGCCCCCCGCAGGAAAACCGCACGTCCCTGGGCGGGGTGGGCTCTGGGGCCCCTGCATGGGCCACTGGGGGTCGACGCGCGCTCCCTGGAAGGTGCCCCTGGCAGCAGAAGAGCACCCGCGCAAACAGAACATCTCGGCGGTCCGCACGGACTTCTCGCACCTGCGCTGGACCCCCGCTCCACCGCACGAGGCGGGGACTTCTCCACATCCACCGCCTGGGAACCGAGGTCCTGGTGCCCCAGCGGGCGGTGGATCTGGATTATGCTTCGGCCCCCGGGGGCCCGGATCTGTCCACATCCACCGCCTGCCGAGTCTCCGAAAACTGACCCTCCAGGCGGTGGGATGTGGATAAACTCCCGCCTCGGACACCGCGCGCGCGGAAGTCGCCAGAGGGGCCCAGCGCAGGAGGCAACGGAGAGGCCAGCGCAGGCCTCCCCGCAGCGGGCCCCGGGAAGGCCGCGGAGAGGCTCCCGAGGGGGGGCGTCCGATGGGGGCCAAAGCAGCAGGTTCGGCGTCGCGACGACCCTGGCGATGGCTTCTGACACCGCGCACATGTTTCGACCTCCTCCTTTTCCTTCCTCCTGTTTCGACCTCCTCCTTTTCCTTCCTCCTCCTCCTCCTCCTCCTCCTCCTCCTCCTCCTCCTCCTGCTCCTCCTGCTCATCCCTCCCCCTCCTCCTCCTCCTCTTCCTCCCCCTCCTCCTCCTCCTCCTCCTCCTCCTCCTCCTCCTCCTCCTTTTCCTTCCTCCTCCTCCTCCTCCTCCTCCTCCTCCTCCTCTTCCTCCCCCTCCTCATCCTCCTCGACGGCTTCCCGATCGCCAGATCGTTCCACATTGGCCGGTTCTGGGCCACTGGCGGCGCTCCACCCGGAACGCTGGCGGCGGAGTCGCCACCGCGTCGACGCGACTCTGAGGCTCCAAAGGGGAGGGAGGGAGGTCACCTTTGGGAGGGAGACGACGGAGGCTACGGAGAGGGAGAGGAAGAAAACCGGCGATGTAAATATAGCGCGTCCAGGGGGAGGCAGGGAGAGGGAGGCGACGGAAGGAGGGAAGGAGGGGAAACGGCTTGCCAAGAGCGGCGCGCAGAGGGCTCCAGCTAGTGCCATCAAACCTCTTGCAGACACTGTTGCAATGAGGGACCAGAGCCCTGGATACCGTGTGCCATCCCCTGGGAACCATTGTTGATACTGGATAGGTCTCGGACGGTCCCAGGACTGGGAAGGCCTCAGACAGGCCGAGCGCTGCCAAAAACCGCAGCACCCATCCTCTTCAGGGCGACAGAGACTGTCCCCCCCGCCGCCGCCTAGAAGCGAGCCTCTTCTTTCGCATATGTGAACTTGGGACGTTGGCCCGCGACTGTCTCATCTACCCTGGTCCTCCTCCTCCTCCTCTTCCTCGTCCTCCTCCTCCTCCTAGTCCTCCATCTCCTCGTCCTCCTCGTCGTCCTCCTCCTCATCATCCTCACCCTCCTCCATTCCTTTTCCTTCTAGATAACTCATCCCTGTCGCACCCTGGGAAAGGGCGGGCCGGGCGTTTCGCCTGAGACGTCCTCACAATTGTTGATCATGAGGCTTGAACTTCCAACATCTGCACGGATGAAGAGAGGGGGTCCTTTCGAAATGAGGCTCTCGCCTTGCCGCCGCGCGCGCTCGACTTAGAACTTCGCAGGCATTTAACGAATGGAAGTCGGTCCGACTTCAAACTGTGGCTTTCGCCTTAGCACCGCGCACATTATTCTTAAAACGTTGCCAGCGTTTTACGGATGGAGGGCGGTTCCTTTTCAACATGTGGCTCTCGACATAGCGCCGCGCATATTTGTCTTCACGGCTTGCAGCCGCTTTAAAGATGTTCATGGGTGACGTCCCAGAAATGGGGTTTTGACGCGATGTTGGAATGTCAGGGCACAGCGGTCACATTGATTCGCGGTGTTGAAGTACGAGGAATGGCGTTCTGACGCGATCCAGAATCGTCAAGACGCAACGCTAAAGGCAGCTCGCGCCACAGAAGTCCCAAAAATGGCTTTCTGGAACAATTCCAGATGTTCAAGCGGTTGTCTTCCAACGAGGCATTTCCCGAGGTGGAAAAAGCGTCCGTGTAGGAGCCTATGAAGAGGGACGTTCAAGGGAAAATGTATTACAATGTCGTTGATGGGTCTTGGGCTTATTATGGTCCTGTTCCTCCTGCCCCTCCTCCTCCTTCTGCTGCTACTGCTCCTCGTGCAGCTTCTGGTGCTGCTCCTCCTTCTCCCCTTCCTGCTCCTCCTCTTCCTCCTCCTTCTCCATCTACTCCACCTGCTCCTCCTGCACCTCCTGTTCCTGTTCCTGCTCCTCCTCCTCCTCCTCCTCCTCCTCCTCCTCCTCCCATCCTCATCCTCGTCCTCGTCCTCCCCATCCTCCGTGTTCATTCCCTATGATATCCTCCCTTCGCCCTCCTCCTTTTCCATCCTCCTCATCCTCCTGCTCCTCCTCCTCCCCCTCCTCCTCCTGCTCCTCCTACTCCTCCTCCTCGTCTTCCTCCTCCTCCTCCTTATCCTCCTCCTCCTCCTTATCCTCCTCCTCCTCCTCCTCCTCCTCCTCCAAGTCCTTCTCCTCCTCCTCCACCTCTTCCCCTACTCCTGCACCAACCCCTATCCCTTGTCGCACTCCTCTTGCTCTGCACGCATCCCTCCCCCTTCTCGTCATCCCCCATCCCGCTCGAATCCTTGCTCAGGCCATCCTCCTCCCACATCTTCTCCCCCTCTCTTCCTCCTCCTTCTCCTCCTCCTCCTCCTCTCCTCCTCCTCCTCCTCCTCCTCCTCCTCTCCCCTCCTGCTCCTCCTGCTTCTCCTGCTCCTCCTCCCCATCCTGCTCCCCTCCTCCTCCTTCGCCCCTCCTCCTCCTCCTCCTCCTTCGCCCCCCCTCCTCCTCCTCCTCATCATCATCCTCCTCCTCCGCCTCCTCCTTCTCCTCCTCCCCTCCATCGCTCGGACGTCCATTACCTGTATTTGTTGTTCGGTTTCGTGCGTGGTTGTTTCGCCAAATGATTAAGGATGCTCCTCGATGGTCCTCGCCGAGGGAAAAATGCACATGTCCGAGCGATGCCGAGCCTCCTCCCCTCCTCCTCCCCCTCCTCCTCCTCCTCCTCCCCTCCCCCTCCTCCTCGTCCAACTCCTCCTCCTCCTCCACCTCCTCCTCCTCCTGCTCCTCCTCCTCCACCCCTTACCTCCTCCTCCACCTCCTCCACCTCCTCCTCCTCCTGCTCCTCCTCCTCCACCCCTTACCTCCTCCTCCTCCTCCTGCTCCTCCTCCTCCACCCCTTCCTTCTCCTCCCCCTTCCTCCTCGTCGTCCTCCAACTACGTTGTCCTGTTCCTCCTCCTCCTTCTCACCCTCCTCCTCCTCATCCTTGTCTTCCTCCTCCTCCTCCTGCTCCTCCTCCTCCTCTTCCTCCGTCTCCTCCTTCTCCTCCTCCTGCTTCTCCTCCACCTCCTCCTCCTCCTCGTCCTCGTCTTCCTCGACCCCTACTCACGCCTGACCCCCATCCTTCGCCCCCTTCTCTTGCTTTGCCCACATCCCTCCCCCCTCCCGTCATTCCCCATCGGGTCCACCTCCCGGCTCAGGTCATCCTCTTACCCCAACTTGTCCCTCCTCCTCCTCCTCCGCCTCCTCCGCCACCTCCTCCTCCTCCTCCTCCTCCTCCTCCTCCACCTCCACCTCCTTCTCCTCCTCCTCCTCCTCTCCTCCTCCTACTCCTCATCTCAGCTTCCTCTCCTCCTCCTTCTCCTCCTCATCCTCCTCCTCCTCCTCCTCCTCCTCCTCCCCCTTCCTCATCCACCTCCTCAGCCTTTTCCTCCTCCTCCTCCTTTTGGCTCAAACCAGACCCTACGCTCACGCATGTGGCGTTTTTGGAATGCGGCGAAACATGAAGCGCAAACGACTCGGCGCAAAGGGTACCCGGCGGGCGCCGCAGCTAAGGCGGTAAGTAGAGCCAGTGGACACCACAGGTAGAAGAGTAGGCGCCCGCCAGGTAAAGCAGCATGTGCCCTAGCGTTTAAGACCAGAACACAAGTAAACCCTGGAATGCATGGACAATGCCAAAGTTTGTAAGGTACATGCTGCAAACAGTGCAAAGGTACAAGAAATGTAATGCAGATAGCGCCACCGTGACTGTGCAGTTCTAGGGTTGCTGCCCTGGGTTCTGGTTGACCCCAAACCATATGTGAATGTTTTCCACCACTACCACATTCCCGAACCTCCACCGACCCACCATCCCAATTAAGCAATCGGAGTAGGCAGGTCATGCTTTGTAAGGCTGACTTAGGCAATGCTGGCTGGCCTTGTGGCTTGGAGCCATGTATGACAGGGGGTAGCTTCCTCCTCATCCTATTCCTCCTCCTCCTCCTCCTCCTCCTCCCCTTCCTCGTCCTCCTCCTCCTTCTCCTTCATTCCTTTTCCTTATAAACAACTTCAAACAAACGCACTCCGAGGCCAATGTTTAACGCGACCGGGCGTTTCGCCTGAGACCTCCTCACCATTTATGACAATGAAGCATAAACGTCGACAGCAGCTTCGTAGATGGAGGGCGGGCGGTTTTCAGAATGTGGCTCTCGCCTTCCCGCCGCAGTTTCACGGATTGAAGGCGGGCCGTTTTCAAAATGTGGCTCTCGCCTTAGCGCCGCGCACATTCGTTTTAAACATTTGCAGGAGCTCCACGGATTGAAAGCGGCTCGTCTTAAAAATGTGGCTCTCGCCTTAGCACCGCGTACATTCGTTTGGAAAGTTTGCAAGAGCTTCACGGATTGAGTGCGGATCGTCTTCAACATGTGGCTCTCCCTTAAGCGCAGCGCACATTCGTTTTAAAGATGTGCAACATGTTCACGGATTAAAAGCGGCTCCTTTTCAAAATGTGGCTCTCACCGTAGCGCCATGCACATTCGTTCGAAACATTTGCCAAAGCTTCACGGATTGAGGGTGGCTCCTTATCAAAACGTGGCTCTCGCTTTAGCGTCGCGCACATTCGATTAAAACATGTGCCAGGGTCTCACGGATCACCATAATCAACGTATCAGAAAGTGCGCTTTGGAGACTCAGGATTATTAGATGCAAACTTGCGTTCGCTCGCGGTGTTGACGTCCCAGGGATTGCCTTCTGGCACGATTCAAGATCGTCAAGGAGCAACAGTCAGGTTGATCCGTGGAATTGGAGTCCTGAGACTAATGTTTCGGCATGCTTCAGGGCCTTCAAACGGTTGTCTTCCAACGAGGCAGTTCCATCAATGGAAATGAACCGTTGTAAGGGCCTAGGAAAAGGGAGCTTGGAGGGAGGGTGTATTACAACATCGTTGATGACCTTTGAGTTTACACTGGTCCTCCTCCTCCGCCTCTTCCTCCAACTCTCTCTCTTTCTCCTCCCCCTCGCCCTCTCCCCCTCCCTCCCTCCCTCCCTCCCCGCCCCTCCCCCCCTCCTCCAGCGCCGTCAGCGCGGGATTGGAGGTGCCGACGGACGTGAGGTGCAGTTGCAGCTTCGAGCGGTGGTCGCGGATGGCCGTGTAGGCCATCTGCGCCTGCTTGGCAAGCGAGCGCCGCTCCTTCGGGCACATAGCCTCCAGGTGAGGGGAGCGATCCTGCTCCTCTTACCCCTGGTCCTCCTCCTCCTCCTCCTCCTCCTCCTCCTCCTCCCTCCTGCTCCTCCTGCTCCTCCTCCTCCTCCTCCTCCTCCTCCTCCTCCTCCTCCTCCTCCGCCCTCTTTTCGCCAGGCCCGAACCGTCGCCGCAGCCGTTTCTCCCTTCTTCCCGCACGCGCTTACCGTTCGGGCCCAGCGTGCCCCCCGCGAGGGCGAGTGGCCGCCTCGCCACACACGAGGCTCGAAGCGGAGGCTATCCCTTGCCTCCTCCGCCTCGGCTGCCTGCGGCGCCAGCTTGGCATGGTGCCGCGCTGGCGCCCCTCCAGTGCAGCAGGGTGCCGCGATGCCGCCTCCGCCAGCGCCGCCGCCTGCCCCAATGTGGCGGGGTGCTGCGCCGCCTCTGCCTCCGCCGCGCCACCCGCCGCCCTCCCGCACCACCTGCTGCCGGTCTTCCTGCTGAAGGATCTGCCATGGGGGTTCAAAAGGGCTGGGCATTCTCGTGCTTCCACCGCCTCCACCCGATGAGCGCTTGCAAGTTCCTGGGCGTGGTCCTGCTGTTCCGCTCCCAACACCTCCACCGCCACCGGGCGATTTCGACTCCAGGGGCTGCACGGCCTTGGCCGCCCGTGGGGACCTCGAGTTGGACACCGCCTCAACCGATGGCACTGTCCGACCTCAGGCAGGGCAAGTGAGGCCCGTGATGATAATAGCGAAGGTGGCCAGCGCACTGTGGAAGGTGACGCTCCCCTGTCTATCTCAATGGGACGCCCCCTGTCGACCACCACGCGCTCTTCTAGCGAGGTAGCTGCCCGGAGCCGTGCTTTGAATGCTCGTACTGCTGGCAATGCAGACAGCAGGCAAACGAGCTTCGACGATAAACTTCGACAGTCCCAGCCCACCACTGCGTCTGTCCCAGGCCGCCCGCCCTCGCGCTCCAGACCCCCTCGGCCTCAGAGTCGAGCAGACGCTCGCGCCCTCAAGGCTGGTTCAGATGAGGCGGAGGGAGCTCCGCTAGACATGCAAGCAGTGCTGTCTGGCAACTATGTTGATGGGCATACCGATCGCTCTGTTCAGGAGCGGGCTGCTCCCACGCCGGAAGAGCACTGGCTATCTGAGCACCATGACGCCACTGCGACGGCTTTCCAGGAGCTGCTCGTGGCGTGCTGGAATTCCGTACGAGATCGCTGTGCAATTCGTTGCGCTGCCGGAGCACGAGAGGCCGTGATGTTCCTAGGGTCCCTGGTCTGCAGCCTCAGCGTGATGCGAGCGAGAGTTCTAGCACAATTCAGCCTCCAACTTGCAAAACTTGCAAGAAGAGGTCATGGCCCGTCTCGGGAGTGAATAGGGGTTGGTTCCACTGACTCAAGTGCGTACCCATTCGGCCACCAGCGTGCAGCTTCTGTGGGCACACCACTCACGATGGATGCTGACGCTTTGCTAAGATGTGCAAGGCAGGCAAGGGGCTCGGATAACGAGCTAGCTGCTATTGATGACTCTCCTCCACGGGAAAAGAATGCTCTGACTGCCTGGCTCGATCGCAGGTTACAAGTTATCGGAAGTCTTCCCAGGTGCCAGACAACAGGGCCCAGCATGTGCAATGCCTGCACATGCAGTTTCGCCTCCTCTTCACGGCGCTCCCCTTCCGCACTCTGGGTACACGTCGGTCGGCAGAAGTAGATAAGAACATGAAGTAGGAAGGCGGATTAAGTGGATTGGGTTCAGGCCCTCCCAGAGAACAACAAAACACAGTACTGTAAAAGCGTGCCGATTCTTGAAGTAGGAAGGCGCTTGAAGCAGATTGGAATATGGGAATCCGAAAATACCTACTTTCAACGACCAGCGTGTAGGTGTGTCCAGGTTCTCCGCTTCTGGGGCGCCCGTTACAGTAGGAGCTCGACCACAGGAAACCTCCCGCAAGGAACCCAACCCTGAGACCCCAGGACGTCCACTGATTGCTGGCGTGGGAACGTCACGCTTTCCATGGCAAAACCATCGACACCCAGGAAACAAAGGGCACCCTGGAGGCAAGCAGGGTGTTTCTTGGCATGGGCCTCCACTGTATGCCCAACTTCTCGGCTTCTGGGACGCCCTCTATCGGTCTACCCATCGTCTGCATGCGCTGACCCTGCCACTCTCTGTGATGCACAAGCCTTCGTGCCTTCGCGGTCCGGGCCTTGCGTTCAAAACCTGGCCGTGCCCACCGTGAGCACTCGTCAGTGCACTTGCTCCCCCTGTTGCCACTTGCTTGCCTTGCCTGTACTGCTGCACGCGGTACCTCGGCCACCACTGTTCACCCAAGCCTGCCTTCCAGTCAGGGGCGCCTGCTCGCATGCTGCCCCCCTGGGTCTCCGCCTTTGATTCGTGGCCATCGCACGTGCTTGTGACCTCTGTGGCTGCTACCTGATCGCAGCCCGTCGTCGCCTTGTCGGTGCACCCTCCGGGTGCACGTGACCGCTACCAGTGGCTCAGTGTGGACTGTCCGTCGTTGCATTGCAAGCTTTGGTTTGCTCAGCTGCCGCTATGCAGGGACAGCACTGTTGCAGGTAGCCTGGCGCTCTACCCGAAGTCTCAAGCCTTTCTGCTTCTGGTGTCGTGTGTCTCTCCTCTCCCTTCTTCCCGTGCCCTTCCCTCCCGGCTGGGTTGGCGCACGCACGCTCGGGCCCTCGGGCCTCCCATGCCTGACTCGCAGGCTGGTTCCATGAAGCTCTCACTCATGGCAGTGGCCGTCGTTCACACTTGGTGTGGCGTTACCCTTGGCTGCGTCTCACCTGCCTGGGTCAGGGGCGCTTGCTGCCGCAGGCTGCTCATGCGCATGAGTTATGCCGCGTGCGTGTAATCCTTGTGCACTCGACAGGCGGACTATGAAGCTTTATCCGATCCGACCAGAACCGATCATTTTCGTTCGTCCTCCTCCTCCTCCATCCTCCTCCCCCACCTCCTCCTCCATCCTGCACCCTCCATCCTCCATCCTCCTCCCCCTCATCCACGATCCTCCTCCTCAGCGGTATTCCTCGTCCTCCTCCTCCTCCTCATCATCAGCAGCATCATCAGCATCAGAACCATAATCCGAATCATCATCATCATCATCATCATCATCATCATCATCATCATCATCATCATCATCATCATCATCATCATCATCATCATCATCAGCAGCAGCAGCATCATCATGACCATCATCATCAGCAGCATCATCATCACCATCATCATAATCATAATCATCATCATCACCACCACCAACAGCATAAACATCATCATCATCATCAGCAGCAGCAGCAGCATCATCATCATCAACACCAACATCACCATCATCAGCATCGTCATCGTCATACATACTCCATCCTCCATCCTCCATCCGCCTACGCCTCGCTCATCATCGATCCTCGATCATCCTTGCCGCTCCTCCTCCCGCTCCTCCTGCTCCTCGTGTTGCTCCTCCTCCTCCTCCTCGATCCCCCCTCCCTCCTCCTTGGGGCGCACGGCCTCGGAGCGCCGGGGGCAGTGGTGGGGCAGTGGAGGGGGGGAGGGCGGAGGGGGGCAGACCCAGGCGGGAGGAATAGCGACGCCGTCGTACCATGGGGGGCGACGCCTTCCCCCATCACTGCGAGATCGTTATCCTTACCCAGAGATCCAACGAATTGAAAAAAAATCAAGACGGAGGTTTTCCACAATTTTCGGCCTCTGGGGGCCCTCGCTGGGCCCCGTGACTGTCAAAAAACGACTCCGGATGAAAAACTGGTCCTCGGGAGTGGGGTGAGACTCCCGGGGACCCCGCATTGAACAAATCACGACTTCGGATCTCTGGGCAACCGCTTTCCGACGTTCCCGGGGCCCGTTGGAAAGGCCCCGAGGGCCTGAAGACGGCGAAACACCTCAGGACCCCGTTTCCCTCAGGACCCGCTCCCCCCCCCCACGGCGAATCGCCGCCAGCCTCCCGCGGGAGGGGGCGACGCTGGCTGGGCGGTCGGGCCTCGCCGAAGCTGCAGTTTATCACGACCTTAGGCGAGCCGCTCTCGTGGGCCCACTGCAGGCTCTCCGTCAGCTCCGCTTTGAGCTGCGCGCCCCGGCGGCGCTCCCGCTCCACGAAGGCGGCCCGTTCCTCCTGCGCTCCCGGGGGGGCCGGCCGGGGGGAACGGAGCAGCGGCGGCGACGGAGCGGCAGCGCGGGCAGAGGAGGAGGAGGAGGAGGAGGAGGAGGAGGAGGACAAGGAGGAGGAGGAGAAGGAGGAGGAGGAAGAGGACAAGGAGGAGGAGGAGGAGGAGGAGGAGGAGGAGGAGGAGAAGGAGGAGGTGGCGGGGAAAGTGGGCGAGGATGACAGAGTGAGCGAGCGGAAGCCGAGAGGCAGCAGGATCCACAGCGGGGGGGAGGCACGCAAGCACCTCGGGCCCACCCCCCAGCCCAAGTACGACGCAGCCCGAAGGCCAGGTTTTACTGGTGCCGAGGGAAAGGGCGATATACCTTTGCACCTCCATAGGGCGGCCCGCGACGGGGCCAGGGGGCACGCAAGAGGAGGAGGAGGAGGACGAGGAGGAGGAGGAGGCTGCCAGCAGGCAACGCCAACGGTCCAGGGCCATGCCCCCGTGGCGTGCAAGTGCGCGAACCAGGGCACGCACGCGCTGCGACGTCCCATGCAAGTTGGGCCATGGCCGCCGCGCGCGCGGCGGCCCTGTCCCTCGAGTATATTTCGTTTTTCCGCACAAAGTGGCCCAAGGCCGCCGCGCGCGCGGCGGCCCGGGGCCACTAAATTGAATCCCTCACGGTGGTCGATTGGATTTCCAAGTTGAACCTGGTGATAGCCTATATTCTACGATCAGCAACGCATATCTCGACGCGCGCGCGCCGCCGCACGCGCGCCGGCGCGCCACCGCGCGCGCGGCGGCGCGCATGAAGTTTTGAGTTGTACATGATGGACAACGTACGCCAGAAATCATGTCCGCTTGGACATCGAATGGGTCGACGCTACGGCTTCAATAGATGTTAAATGCAAACTTGGCGACTCGGCGACTCCTGTTGTGGACATGTCAAAACTCCCCTGCGCGCCCGCGTGGCGAGTTTTGACTTGCCCATCGTCCATCGCAGAAAGCATGCACCTGAAACCAATGTAAACTTGGAAAACCCATATGTTGCCAATGCGGGTTCGCTTCGGCTCCCAAGCCAACGCGGCAACAATTTTGTTGTGGACAATTCAGATCCCCCAACGCGCGCGCGTGGAGAGGTTTTTGTTTCCCTCATTGTAGACAGCATGCAGCAAAAAAAACAATGAAAGTTTCAAAACCCAACAAATCACCGTTAAGAATTCACTGTAGCTTCCAGACCAACACGGCGCCTCTTTGATTGTGGACAATACAAAACTAACTCCCCACGCGCGCAAGGGTGACGCGCATCACCCGCGAGCGCCCGTCGGTCACCGTTACGAGTTCACTGTAGTTTCCAGGCCACCATGGCGAGTGTCCTCTTGTACACAATACCGAACTAACTCCCCACGTACGCGCGTGCGTGGGGAGCTCTGTATTGCCCATCATAGAAAACATCCAGCAGAAACCATGCTAACTTCAAAATCCAATCAATCGTCGTTAAGGGTTCACTTTAGTTTCCAGGCCAGCATGGCGCCTTCTCTATTGTATACAATGCAGAACTAACTCCCCCCTCGCACGGGCGGGTGGCGCGCATCACCCGAGCGCATCCGTCGGCCACCGTTAAGATTCCACTGAAGTTCCCAAGCCGCCGCGCGCGCGGCAGCCCTGCCCCTCGCGCAGAATTGACTGCCCCGCGCTGAGTGGCCCAAGGCTGCGAAGTCGCGCATGCTGTGCTATCCCACAAAGAGTGGCCAAAGGCCGCCGCCCGCGCGGCCCTGCCCCTCGCGCGTGCTGCGATTTCCCATGCAAGTTGGGCCATGGCCGCCGCGCGCGCGGCGGCCCTGCCTCTCGCGCACGTTTCGTTCTCCCGCACCTGAGTGGCCCAAGGCCGCCGCGGGCGCGGCCGCGTTGCCCTGCGCAATAATCTGTATTCCCACGCAGAATGGGGCCAAGGCCGCCGCGCGCGCGGCGGCCCTCCCCATCGCGCGTACTGTGTCTTCCAAGAAAGAATGGCCCAAGGCCGCCGCGCGCGCGGCGGCCCTGGGCCACTAAATTGAATCCCTAACGGTGGCCGATGGCGCCTGGAGTTGGCGAATGTTCTACGGTAGGCGACGCATGTCTCGACACGCGCGC